TATGTGTTTCTACAAGCTTCTTTGGGCTTATGTGTTCTGTGAAAAGATCAACAAAAGACGACTTAAGTGCCTTGACTGGTGGAAACCTGACACTTTCCCTTTATTGTTACTTCACGGTAACGGCCTAAGCATATTTGCTTACTGGGAGCTTTGGAGCTTGGTAGGGCCTATTTTCAAATATGAATGGTTAGTATCAAGCTGGAAATGTTCCAAGGCAATGAAAACAATGACAAATTCTAGGGCCCAGATTCAAGTTTTAGTTCCAACCAAAGCAAACACGTTGAATCAATGGAAATTTGGTATGTCAAGTCCCATTGATTAAATGAGTATATTCTAGTTCAGACGTGGGCAAAGTTTGGCCCTGCAGGTGTTTTGGACTTCAACTCCCATCATTCTTAACAGCCTCAGGCCCCTTCCATTTTCCCCTCAGCCGCTTAAGGGGCTGAGGGGGAAAAGAAAGAAGCCTGAGGCTGTTAGGAATGATAGGAGTTGAAGTCCAAAACACCTGCAGAGCCAAACTTTGCCCATACCAGCTCTAGTTGGAGACCAACATTTGAATTTAGAGCTAGGCTGTAAACTTGCTGGTTTAATCTACCTATGCAATCGAATGAGATGCAGCCTACCATTTCCCACTGCGAATGGGAAATATATATTTGTTAAATCTTCTTTCTACTTCCCTGGGAGAAATTCGTATTGAATGAATGGCTAATACATCAAGAAGAAAAGATCTTGCCCTGTGTGTTCCCTGCCATGGGGGACATTTTCATTCTTGGGAAGTAATGAAAAAAAAAGGATGACTCTTCAATGCCGGAAGAGCTGCAGCTCCTTCCATCTGATCAAGACTTCTGCCACTTCCATTTCAACCTTCCCCTTCCAAGCTCTACTGCTCAGGTAGACCGGGTCTTAAATTAAGCCCTGGAGAAATGGGATCAGACTGTGCACTCTCCGTTTGATATCAAAACTTTGGTGGGGGCAGAAAAAGCCAAGAACACAATAGACCAAGTCGCAGAGATTCATGATTCTAATAATGTCCTTTGGGAAGTGATCAGAGCTTTTTGAAGAGCTGCAATATCGGTAGGTTGTGGAGGTTCCTGGCATAGAGGACCTTTTTCCAAACAGCAGACGGCAGATGCTCCCAGACAGGGTAGTTAAGAGTAACTTATTTTCAGGGAAGCTTTCCTGTCACATAGCAATTCTTGTCTATAGCATATTTTATTATTCAATGTGTATTATTCACCTTCTGCCAGGTAACGTGCTAGGACGGAAGTGTATTTTTTTCTCCTATTCAGAATTAGCTTTTGTATGTTGTCACTTATTCATTCAGTTGTTTCCGACTCTTCATGACCACTCCAGAGCTCCCTGCAAGCCATGGCCACCCCCAGCTCCTTCAAGGTCAAGCCAGTCACTTTAAGGATACCATCTATCCAATTGGCCCTTGGTTGGCCCACCTTCCTTTTTCCTTCAGTTTTCCCCAGCATAGAATCATAGAATCATAGAATCAAAGAGTTGGAAGAGACCTCATGGGCCATCCAGTCCAACCCCCTGCCAAGAAGCAAGAATATTGCATTCAAATCACCCCTGACAGATGGCCATCCAGCCTCTGCTTAAAAGCTTCCAAAGAAGGAGCCTCCACCACACTCCGGGGCAGAGAGTTCCACTGCTGAACGGCTCTCACAGTCAGGAAGTTCTTCCTCATGTTCAGATGGAATCTCCTCTCTTGTAGTTTGAAGCCATTGTTCCGCGTCCGAGTCTCCAAGGAAGCAGAAAACAAGCTTGCTCCATCCTCCCTGTGGCTTCCTCTCACATATTTATACATGGCTATCATATCTCCTCTCAGCCTTCTCTTCTTCAGGCTAAACATGCCCAGCTCCTTAAGCCGCTCCTCATAGGGCTTGTTCTCCAGACCCTTGATCATTTTAGTCGCCCTCCTCTGGACACAATATCTCTCTTGAATTGTGGTGCCTAGAATTGGACACAATATTCCAGATGTGGTCTAACCAAAGCAGAATAGAGGGGTAGCATTACTTCCTAGATCTAGACACTATGCTCCTATTGATGCAGGCCAAAATCCCATTGGCTTTTTTTGCCGCCACATCACATTGTTGGCTCATGTTTAACTTGTTGTCCACAAGGACTCCAAGATCTTTTTCACACGTACTGCTCTCGAGCCAGGCGTCACCCATTCTGTATCTTTGCATTTCATTTTTTCTGCCAAAGTGGAGTATCTTACATTTGTCACTGTTGAACTTCATTTTGTTAGTTTTGGCCCATCTCTCTAATCTGTCAAGATTGTTTTGAATTCTGCTCCTGTCCTCTGGAGTATTGGCTATCCCTCCCAATTTGGTGTCGTCTGCAAACTTGATGATCATGCCTTCTAGCCCTTCATCTAAGTCATTAATAAAGATGTTGAACAGGACCTGGCCCAGGACGGAACCCTGCGGCACTCCACTTGTCACTTCTTTCCAAGATGAAGAGGAAGCATTAGTGAGCACTCTCTGTGTTCGTCCATTTAACCAATTACAGATCCACCTCACCGTAGTTTTGCCTTGCCCACATTGGACTAGTTTCCTGACAGAAGGTCATGGGGGACCTTGTCGAAGGCCTTACTGAAATCCAGGTACGCTACATCCACGGCATTCCCCGCATCTACCCAGCTTGTAGCTCTATCGAAGAAAGAGATCAGATTAGTCTGGCATGACTTGTTTTCGATAAATCCATGTTGACTATTAGCGATGACTGCATTTGTTTCTAAGTGTTTGCAGACCGCTTCCTTAACAATCATTGTCTTCTCCAGGCTATCCTGTCTTCTCATTATATGGCCAAAGTACTTCATCTTTGTCTCTAATATCCTTCCCTCCAGTGAGCAGTTGGGCTTTATTTCCTGGTTTGATCTTCTCACGGTCCAAGGCACAGAATTTTCCTCCAACACCACAGTTCAAAAGCGTCTATCTTCCTTCGTTCAGACTTCCTTATGATCCAGCTCTCACATTCATAGGTTACTATGGGGAATACCATTGCTTTAACTATGCAGATCTTCATTGCCAGTGTGATGTCTTTGCTCTTCACTATTTTATTGAGATTGGTCATTGCTCTCCTCCCAAGAACTAAGCGTCTTCTGATTTCCTGGCTTCAGTCTGCGTCTGCAGTAATCTTTGCATCTGAAAATACAAAGTCTGTCATTGCCTCCACATTTTCTCCCTCTATTTGCCAGATACCAATCAGTCTGTTCAACTGCAACCCAGCTTTAGCTCTTTCCTTTTTCACCTTGGTTAGAAGGCTCCTCAGCTCCTCTTCACTTTCATCCATCAAAGTGGTATCATCTGCATATCTAAGGTTGTTATTGTTTCTTCCAGCAATTTTAACTCCAGCCTTGGATTTGTATAGCTCATGTCTCAAATGTGAACACAGAACCTACATACGGTTTTGTTGTGATGGTCATTTGGTTGTGTGTATTTTTAAAAGTGTGATTTTTCTTTCATATAACTACTGTACAAGTTTGAGTCTCCACCGAACCATAAAACTTACTGAATGACACTGTTTCTTACCTTAACATATCTCACAAAAATGTCACCAGAAGATACATAAAATGCATCTACACAATATAATTAATGCATTCCACAGATATATAAACCCATTTTCCTACTTCCAACAGACCTCACTACCTCTGAGGATGCTTGCCATAGATGCAGGCAAAACGTCAGGAGAAAATGCCTCCAGAACATGGCCATATAGCCCGGAAAAACCTACAACAACCCAATAATTAATGCAGTTTGACACCACTTTTACTGCCATGGCTCAATGCTATGGAACACTGTTGTAGTTTTACAAGGCATTTAATCTTCTCTGCCAAAGAGTGCCGATGCCTCACTAAACTATAAACCCCAGGATTACATAACATTAGGTCAGAACAATTAAAGTGGTGTCAAGCTGCATTAATTCCACGGTGTAGAGGCAACCACAGTTAATGAAGTAGATCCTGGCATTACTTCTTTAGCGGAAAGATTGGTACCAGAGGCAGGAATAACATGAGAAAATAGGTTTAAGTTCAGTTGCTCTCCTCCCAAGAAGTAAGCGTCTCCTGATTTCCTGGCTGCAGTCTGCATCTGCAGTAATCTTTGCACCTAGAAATACAAAGTCTGTCACTGCCTCCATGCTTTTCCCTTCTATTTGCCAGTTATCAATCAGTCCAGTTGCCAGAATCTTGTTTTTTAATGTTTAACTGGAGGTTTTGCACTTTCTTCTTTCACTTTGGTTAGAAGGCTCCTCAGCTCCTCCTCGTTTTCGGCCATCAAAGTAGCATCATCTGCATATCTAAGGTTGTTAATGTTTCTTCCAGCAATTCTAACTCCAGCCTTGGATTTGTCAAGCCTTGCACATTGCATGAAATGTTGAATAGGTTAGGTGAGAGTATACAACCCTGCAGTACACCTTTCCCAATCTTGAACCAGTCTGTTGTTCCAGGGTCAGTTCTTACTGTTGCTACTTGGTCATGATACAATGCCTGGCCTACACTGTCAAATTAGTGCAGCCTGAATCGTAGAATCATAGAATCAAAGAGTTGGAAGAAACCTCATGGGCCATCCAGTCCAACCCCATTCTGCCAAGAAGCAGGAATATTGCATTCAAATCACCCCTGACAGATGGCCATCCAGCCTCTGTTTAAAAGCTTCCAAAGAAGCAGCCTCCACGACCTAATGGTGTGAAATCCTGGATGTTATAGTTTCACAAGTTCTTTCGCTTTCTCTGCCCAAGAGTGATGGGCATCACCAAACTACAATCTTCTAGATTTCACAGCATGCAGCCTCAGCAGTGAAAGTGTGATCCAACTGCAGTGTAGCTCAGGGATTCCCAGAGATTCTGGTCCTCCAGATAATTGGGCTTCAACTCCGAGAAGCCTCAGTTGTCTTGTTAATGATCAGGGATTCTGGGAGCTGAAGTCCAAAGCAAAGTTTGGGAAACATGTAGAGAGATACACCCAGCGACACACTTCCCAAGTTTACCTGGAATGGAATGGAGTTGCGTAAAGCCTTCCTGCTCGAGGAAGGAGGAGGAGGAGGAGGAGGAGGGCTGTCCGCACGGGGGCGTCTCTGATTCGCTTCGCCGGAGGTGGCAGCTCCTTCTTGGAGGATCTAAACCCCAAGGAAACGGAGGAGGGTGAAGATACTTGGAGGCCGCTCCTCAAGAAGCGAGAGGCGCTTCCTTGCGCGCCGGGACGGAGGGCGGCTTTGCTTTAATCCCATCCCAGGTCTCCGCCCTGTTGCGTGGAGTGGGAAGGGGAAAAAAAACCCTTTCTCCTCGCTGCCACTTCGTAACGTCTGCCTTCCGCAGCCTCCAGACGCCAAGCCTTCCCCCGTCGCTTGCAATTCCCAGACTCTGGAGAAGGTCTTGGGGATCCTCTTCCCTTCCCTCGGGGTGCGAAGCCAGGAGGCGCGCTTCCCCACTCGACTTGGGCAAAGTTTGCGCAAAGATCGCTTGGCGTGGGAGTCCCATTCCGGGAGGAAAGGGCGATGGATGTACAGGGCTGCCCGGCCTTGGCTTTGCTCCTCTTGGTTTGTTCCCTGGGATCCTTGGCAGCGAACAGGAGGACCATCCCAAGGAGGCAAGGTAAGAGCTCGCTTTCTCCTTGGGAAAGATCTACAAGTCCCTGGAAGGAAAGGGTGGGAAGTTGGGTTGTTGGAGATTTTTCAGGCTGGGTTTCCCATGTTCTAGAAGCATTCTTTCCTGACTTTTGCCTGCATCTATGGCAGGCATCCTCAGAGGTTGTGAGGTCTGTTGAAAACTAGGAAAATTGGGTTTATATAGAATGTCTAGGGTGTGAGAAATAACTCTTGTCTGTTTGAGGTAAGTGTGAATGTTGCTATTGGCCACCTTGATTAACATTTGATGGCCTGACAGTTTTTAGGTGTCACTTGTTACTGCTTGGGGGAATCCTGTGTTGAGAGTTGTTTAGCTGTCCCTGGTTGTTTCTTGTCTGGAGTTCCCCTGTGTTTGAGGGTGGAAAGTTGCATCCTAACATCAAGCAAAGGAAAACTTGGATCCTCCCTCCAGGTGTTTTGGACTTCAACTCCCACCATTCCTAACAGCTTGAGCGGCTGAGGGGGGAAGGAAGGGCCTGAGGCTGTTAGGAATGGTGGGAGTTGAAGTCCAAAACACCTGGAGGGAGGACCCAAGTTTGCCCATGCCTCATCCATACTGTAGAACAGGTAGGGGTAAACTTTCTAACTTGGGGGCCCCATGGCGGGCCTGAGCAGGGTAGGCCTGCTGGAAGGGAGGGGGGTTCTCCCCAAGCCCCCCTCCCTACCCTTCCCTTCCTCTTCTCTTTTGAAGGAAAGATGGAAACATTTGGATCCCAAAAGGGTTAGCCTTGGTCAGGATGAAGTGGTGGATGGGAGAGGAAAAGTGTATCCATCAGACCCTGTATTGCTTACTCCTGATATAGAATCCTACAACTGGAAGAGACCCCTAAGGACTGTACAGTACAACCCCCTTCCATGCAAGAAGGTGTACAATCAAAGCACTCCTGATAGACAGCCTGTGCGGAAAAGCTTCCAGAGTGGAGACCTCCAACACACTCCAAGGCAGTCTATGCCACTCTCCAACAGCTCTTACTCTTCGGAAGTTCTTCCTAATCTTTTTGGTCAAATCTCTTTCCCTGCCATTTGAACCCATTGCTTCCTTGTGCCCAGTCCTCTAGAGCAGCAGAAAGTTAGTTTGCCCCCTCCTCCTCAATGGGACCCCCTTTGAAATCTTGAAACATGGTTCTCATGTTCCTTCTCTACCTAAACAGGAGAAAAGGAGGAAGGAAAAAGAGAAGGAAGGGAGGAAGAGGAGAGTAGAAGGAAGGAAGAGTGGAAGGGAATGGAGGGAGGAAAGAGAGAAGGAAGGGTAGGATAGTATGGTGAGAGAGAGGAGGGTCTGAGAAAAGAGCCCCGAGGGCTGCATTTGGCCCCCGGGCCTGGGTTTGCCCATACCTGCTGTAGAATGAATGCTTTCCTTTTCCATCTCTTGCCTTCAAAAAGAACCGTGGAGAGTTCACAGCCCCATTCCATGTGATCTCAATTACTTGGGCGCTTGGCAAAAAAAGCAGGCAGGGAGACACTGCGTTGAGGCTCACTCACCCCCACAGACCCAGATGGGAAAAAGGCAGCCCTTCCAGGCTTTCCAACCAGCCTTATTTGAGCCATATTGTCCAAACAGCTACTCGTTTCCTGTCATGAAAAAAGGAGAAAGAACAATCGGATGACTCTTGCCTCTCTCTCTCCAAGTTCCCTCCGGTGCAGTTTTAATAGGCACAGAAGAAATTAAAAGGGAGAGAAGACCAACTGCAGGAAGTTTTGTTTATTGACTCGCTTGGGTACCTGGCGTTCAAATGAAAAAGTCAACTTTCATTGTACAAAATGCATCAGGTTGTGGGTGAACTACAACTCACATCATGCCAGGTTAACCCCCTGAAACTCCATCACCACTTAAAGTTTGTATTGTCGAAGGCTTTCATGGCCGGAATCACTGGGAGCCCTTTCACACAACCCTATATCCCAGGACATCAAGGCAGAAAATACCACGTTGTCTGAGTGTGGATTCAGATAACCAGGTTCAAAGCTGATATTGTGGGATTTTCTGCCTTTATATTCAGGGATATAGGGCTGTGTGGAAGGATCCTGGGTTGTAGTAAGTTTATCGGCTGTATGGCCATGTTTCAGAAGCATTCTCTTCTGACATTTTGCCTGCATCTATGGCAGGCATCCAGAGGTTGTGAGGTCACCTCTGAGGATGCCTGCCATAGATGCAGGTGAAAACGTCAGGAGATAATGCTTCGAACAATGGAAAAACCTTGTGAGAACTTACTTTAATGTTTTGTTGAAGGCTTTCATGGCCGGAATCACTGTAGGTTTTTTCGGGCTATATGGCCATGTTCTAGAGGCATTCTCTCCTGACGTTTCGCTGCATCTGTGGCAAGCATCCTCAGAGGATGCTTGCCATAGATGCAGGCGAAACGTCAGGAGAAATGCCTCTAGAACATGGCCCTGTAGCCCGAAAAAACCTACAAGAACCTAACCTACTTAAAGTTTGTTATGTTGAGCAAGTTTGCTCCAGATCAGTGGCTCTTAGCCTTCCTAATGCCTTGACCCCTCATGTTGTGGCCACGACCCCTTCATACAGTTTTTCATGTTGTGGTGACCCCCAATCATAACATTATTTTTGTTGCTACTGCATAATTGTATTGTTGCTACTGTTATGAATCATAATCTAAATATCTGATATGCAGAGGTATTTTCATTCACTGGACCAAATTTGGCACAAATACCTGATAAATCTCAATTTGAATACTGTTGGGGTTGGGGGAGGGATTGATTATGTCATTTGGGAGTTGTAACTGGTGGGATTTATAGTTAACCTACGATCAAAGAGCATTCTGAAAAATAAAGCTCAAGTTCCGTGGACAAGTGAGGAAGTCTTCCTGCAGAATAAGGATTGGTTAGAAAGAGAGATTCACAGAATTTAAATAAAGAAATAATTCCTCCTCAGCTACGAATAAGGTTGAAATTCAACAAATCCACTTTCTCCCCCCTGCATCCTCAAGCAAAGCTGGACCTGTTGAATGTTGATCAGATACCAGTTCTAAAGGTATAGGAAGCTTCTGGTAAGAAGTGGAAAGCATTCTTCCTAATGCATGGCAACAACCTAGAAAATGAAGTAATGGAACTTAATCTGTCACTCAGCAGCACGTTTACATCCCTTCATCTCTTTCTAAGTAGTGTGCGTCTGGGTTTCAGAGCAAGTGGACAGTAGTCAAAGTTCTTTGGAATTTTCTCCCTTAATTTACTGAGAGCAAGAGAAGTAATTGATGTTATGCGCATATTAGTAACTTATCTCTTATGGGGAATAAATATTTTAGTGGGTCATGATACTCCATTTGAAAATTAACTTTTCCTCTTGTCTGGGAGCCTCATTATACAACTCTTACCCTAATTTGTTTGCATACTTGAGGGTTGATACGCAACCTGATCTTTGGGGAGAGATGCCCCTTATTCTGTTTCACTCATTTCAGACATGATGGCTGAAGTGTGTGTGTGTGCCGGGGCATTCAGGTTCCCTGTCATCTTATTGTACCAAGTGTCAGTATGTTAATTGGATAGGGCCTCCTGACTCGGCTAGTGGAATTAACCAATCAGTGCTTCTTTCTGCAAATGCCAATGGAAAAGCTGATTAGGCAAATATAAATATTAACAGATCATTCTGTAGGGTTTTAGAAATGTGGGTTGTTCGGCTGGGAGGAAAGCCTGCCATCTGGGTGCAACAATTTGGGAAGGTTTCTAAACCCAGCGGAAGAGGAAACATAGAAGATATGAAGTCTAGTTTTCAGCATCTGCAGAATGACAGTTTGCCACCACGTTTACTACCACGGACTCATCTGAGTTGTAATTTTACAAGTTGTCTTTAGCCTTCTCTGCCAAAAAGTGCTGGTGCCTTGCTAAACTACAACTCCCATGATTCTGTATCATTGAGCCATGGCATGGAAAGTGATGTCAAACTGCAGATCAGTGGTTCTCAACCTTCTTAATGCCGTGACCCCTTAATACAGTTCCTCATGTTGTGGTGACCACCAATCATAACATTATTTTTGTTGCTACTTCATAACTGTAATGTTGCTACTATTAGGAATCATAATGTAAATATCTGATATGCAGGATGTAGTTTCATTCACTGGACCAAATTTGGCACAAAAACCTGATACATCCCAATTTGAATACTGGTGGGGTTTGGGGAGGGATTGATTTTGTCATTTGGGAGATGTAGCTGATGAGATTTATAGTTAACCTGCCATCAAAGAGCATTCTGAACTTCATCAACAATGGAATTGAACCAAACTTGGCACACAGAACTCCCATGACCAACAGGAAATACTGGAAGTGTTTGGTGGGCATTGACCTTGAGTTTTGGAGTTGTAGTTCACCTACATCCAGAGATCACTGTGGACTCAGACAATGATGGATCTGGACCAAATTTGGCATAAATACCCAATATGCCCAAATGTGAACACTGGTGGAGTTTGGGAAACAGACCTTGACATTTGGGAGTTGTAGTTGCTGGGATTAGCAGTTCACCTCCAATCAAAGAGCATTCTGAACCCCACCAATGATACAAGTGGACCAAACTTCCCACACAGGACCCCAATAACCAACATGTCTTTTCATTCACTGGACCAAATTTGGCACAAATACCCTATACACTCAAATTTGAATACTGGTGGGGGGGGGGGTGATTTTGTCATTTGGGAGTTGCTGGGATTTATAGTTCACCTACAATCAAAGAGCATTCTGAACTCCACCAATGATGGAATTGAACCAAACTTGGCACACAAAACTCCCATGACCAACAGAAAATACTGGGCATTGACCTTGGGGGCCCCGACAGTGACCCCTCTGACACATCCTTGTGACCCCCCCCCCCGGGGTCCCAACACCCAGGTTGGGAAACACTGGTGTAGATTGACCCTGGGAAAGATCCATTTAGTGTATAGGGGCTTCCATATCAGCAGGAAGGGGAATGCACGTCAGGTATCCATTCAAATTTTGAGGGACCTATCCTAGGTTTTGCAATTT